CCAGAGCCCTGGACTTGTGACTGGTGTCTGAAGTGGGGCAGGTGGCAGGTGGGAGTGGAATGGAGAAGGTAGGCCAATCCTGAGGACTAAGCCTTCAATCTGTGGGATCTGACGCTATCTCCAAGTATCATCAGAACTGAATTGGAGGACCCCACTGGTGTCCACTGTCTCGTTGGTGTGGAAAAATCCATATACATTTGCTCACAGAAGTCTTCTGTGTCTATTGTTGCAATGTGAGAGAAGAGGAAAAATATGATTCTCTTGACCCAAACAATTGGTGTCAAGAGAAGTGAAATTTGCTAGAATAGCCCTGGCTTACTGAAACATGTGGTCTGGGAAAAGAAAGGCTAAAAGGGTGGGGGATGAGGCACCTTTGATTCCTGAGTGGCCGCATGGTCAGTTACCCATAGAATGGAACTGCAGCTATGCAGTGCTCAGTTACTAAAGGGAAGAGTTACCAGGAGAATTTAGAGATGGATCCAACTCCCAGTGTGTTGGTTCACTGTATACATAAGGAAATACAAACTAATAAGAAAAAGGCAAAATATTCAAACCATTGGTTATTGATATCTATAGCCAATGAAATTAAAAGAATGCTTAGAAAGAAAGAAAGAAAGAAAGAAAGAAAGAAAGAAAGAAAGAAAGAAAGAAAGAAAGAAAGAAAGAAAGAAAGAAAGAAAGAGTGTGTGCTTCATTGGGCCTTGAAGCTGGAACAACCCCAGATATTGGTCTGTCTGAGCTCAGACTGCTAGCCTCAAAGCCACCTCCAACAGCAGAATTATGCAGGGAGAACAGAAATACCTATGTGACCTGTGGTTACCAAGAAGGTGGTCAATGTGATGGAAGGGCAAAAACAAGTAACTACTGAAACCAGAGTACAGGGTGAAGAAATTATTTCTTTTTTCAGACTGGTATTATCAGCTTCCTAAGGAATCATTTCTAAAATGGATTATGAGAGTGACTAATTTAGGGGCAGTCTATCTGTGGTTTCCAATGGTGTAGAAGAGCATGTATGGGCTGGTGTAGGACACACACCTCACTACTGAACAACAACAGATGGCTATACATGATCCAAATACAGAGGAGATTATTCCTGAAGAAATAGCCAGCTCAGTGGACTGGATAAAGCCCACTATCAGATCTGCTTACTCTGAAAAGGGGGACTGCTCAACTCTCCCTATAAATGCCAAGTGGAGCACCACAGACGAGGCAGATGACATGCCTCCCATGCAAGCCATAGAACTGGCTTTATGGTGACAGAAATATCCACTCTAGGAATATGCCTTTTACCCAAGTCATGATAAATGCTGTGATTAAGGGGCCCCTGCTACATGGGCATCACATATGATGCTACTTCTGTAGAACTGAACAACTTAGAGAAGCTTTGACTAATTTGCTGTCTCAGCTTCCTCTCATGGGTCTTACAGCTGCTAATAAAAACATAAGATTAATTAACAAAAAAAAAATGGGGAAAAGAAAAAGAGTTAATTCAGAGGGCTCATCCCAGGAAGGTGGAAATTCTTAAAAGGTGAATAAACAAACCATCAATGGGGTGAACTAAGAGGTAAAAGAAAGGGGAGCATCATGGGACTCATCCTAACAGTGTGGAAATCTTTAGATGGCTATTAAGAAATGGGATGAGCCGGGCTCGGTGGTTCAGCCTGTAATCCCGCGCCTTTGGGAGGCTGAAGTGAGTGGACTGCCTGAGCCCGCGGGGTCAAGACCCGCCTGGGCAGGCGAGACCTCATCTCTACAATAAAATCAAAAAATTAGCTGGACGTGGTAGCGCATGCCTGTAATTCCGGCTACTCAGAAGGCTGAGGCGGAAGGATCGCCGGAGCCCGGCAGGTTGAGGCTGTGGTGGCCGGGAGCGGCCATTGCACTCCAGTCTGGGCGACAGAGACTCCAACTCAAAAAAAAAACAAACAAACAAAAAGAAATGGGATGAATAAAATAAAAATTAATGGAGTTAAAACAACCTCAACTCAACACTATTGAAGTCGGGTTGAGTCCACCGAAGGGAGACCTATCTGGTCCCCCAACATTTAAAGGCACTAAAACAGTTTGCTCAGTCCCCCCTTACCCTGTTTGTAGGAATTTAAAAAGCCAGACTGTAAAAATTACAATTAGAAACCCCACCTAAAATAGCCTGGAGCATGGTTAGACTGGTTAATCAAGGTAACAGAGGACAGAGAGTCATGGTCCCTTGGGTCAATCCCTGACTACAAACTAAAGACCTTTACACAAGAGAGGGTAAAATGTTCCGAGGGTGGAGAAAAGAAGTTTCTAGGATTAAAAGATTAAAATGTAAGGGTTGAAAGGACTGTGGAAGTTGGAAGGTTTAAGTGGACTTTATGTAAAGAAGTTGGGCTGGGCTAGATGGCTCAGCCTGTAATTCCAGCACTTTGGGAGGCTGAGGTGAGTGGATTGCCTGAGCCCGCGGGTTCGAGACCCATCTGGGCAACTTGATGAGACCTCATCTTTACAATAAATCAAAAATTAGCCAGGCATGGTAGCGCACGCCTGTAGTTCCGGCTACTTGGAAGGCTGAGGTGGAAGGATTGCCGGAGCCCAGCAGGTGGAGCCTGCGGTGGCCAGGAGCGGCCACTGCACTCCAGTCTGGGTGACAGAGTGAGACTCCAACTCAAAAAAAAAAAAAAAAAGAAGCTGTCTCCTTATCTGAAAGTTTTATGGGCATGAACAACGTATCTGACTGTAGGATTTTCCCCCTGCTTAGTACTGCAGATCTGTCCAGTAAGCAGTATCAATTAGGCATGCTAAATGGTAAGACTGCCTGGGCTCACACGTTGTAAATTACTTTGAGTGCAGGTGGGACAAATGCTCCATTTGGTAGCTCTTCTTAGAGTATTTCCTGGGGCAAAAGCTTGTGAGCAACTCCTATGGTCAACTAATGGGACTTTGGACTAGAGAATTTCCACTGGAGGGGTCTTTATTGCCTTGTTATGGGACTTTGACTAAAGTCATCCCTATTAATGAAGGGCATAAAATGATCTTAACACCTGAAATACCCACACAGTACTGCATGATGACAAAAAAACACTCTAATGGGGATGTCACAGTGCCCAGATGAGTTCCATAAAACACCCACATATTTGGTCACAGAAATATTCTGTGCTGATTCTTTTGGTGTGAAAACAAAGAAAAAACATGGTTTGAGGGTTTTTCCAAAACAGTAGTTAATAGAGATGTGATACACACCCTGAACTTCTGACTCTAACTGGCAAGTAGTACAGGAAAGCAATGTGATACTTCAAAGCACAAGCTTATTAGTCAGAAATCCTTGCAGGGTTTGACTCTCAAGTCCACCATTTACTACCTATATGATCTTTTTCTTGAATTATTTCTTAAACTTTTTTGTTTCTATAAAATACCTCAGACAGAAAGGACTGCTTATCATTCTATTATCAACCACAATGATTCTCAACACTGAATAAATATCAAAACCACCTATGAGGCTTTCCCAAATAAGGACATACCAGAGGTAAGTTATGCAAACAAAGTTATGAACTATCAATGTTACAATTTTAGGAGAAATTGTATGTGTGTGTGTGTGTGTGTATGTGTATCTAGATATATCTATATGTATATATACAGAGAGAGAGAGAGAGAGAGAGAGAGAATACACAACACACAATGACAGAAACTTTACAAAATTCTGGACAAAATAGCAAAGTACTTTTTAACTTGTTTTAATAGCATTTAGATTAATGGAAATAGACTAGTGATAGAGCGGGTTAGAGTTACATTTGACTTAACTGCTAGCAGTATCCTTTACCCCTATATTTTTCATTGTCATCTTACTTTCTATTTGTACGTAGTAATTCTGTATGTTTATAGCAAATTAATACGGTGGCATATAACTTACCATACAAAACAGGTTATTTCTGAGAGTAAGAGTTACTTTTAACACTTTGCACTCAGAGACATCTTGTGGGTCACCTACCAGCAGCTCAACTGCACTTTTTTTCATGAAATAGTGAAAACAAATCACTTCATATTAAATAGTATAACATTGAAATCAATTATTTAATTGTAATGATATCTGGCTTATAACAGAATTTTGGACATTGAGGAACTTATTTATGACAAAAAAATCAAATCAAATTCGTATCCTATATTTTTCTAATGAGTGAAACAATCACTGACATGCATTGCAGGTTCATTGATACATGTTGTGCAATGGCAATTTGTTAGGCATCTTCCACCTGGTGGTTTTCTATTCAAGCAGATGGTGCAGTCTCGTTTTCTTCTTTCCACATTAATAATATGTAATTTATTGTCCAATCTGTTGTTCAGAAACAATGTGGAAGGATACAATTGTGATTCCTGAAAACCACTTCTCAACTGATGAAATCAGAAGCTTGACAGATTTCAAATGGGACATAAGTTTTTTCATTGCTTTTGGATGGAAAACTTCAAGAAAACATACATTTTTGAAAAATTTGCATACGTTTGTCCTGTTATATAATCATCAGCAATGTCTTATGTCCCCTCTTAGGGGTTTGCTAGATTTACATCCAAGTGCAAAGGTTTAGTAACTAGACTGGAAAGCAGACATAAACTTTAGATTGTCCCATGCATATCTGATATAGCAATCATACTATGATAGTAAATTCTCAGTGTTTTCTATCCTAAATTTAACAGGTATAATATTAAACTAGGAATCAAGTAACCTAATCTAATTTCTAAATATTTTTTACTAAAGAGTCATGAAAAACCCTAACAATCGCCTCATTTCAGTTTGCCAATTCTAGATATGCCAAAGTGTGTAAAAGAAATCTGGAAAAAATTACGAAAAAAATGAGTTCAAAGATAGTGAAATTCATCATATTTACCTAAAAACACACACATATTTTTTAAAAATCGCATAAAGGAAACTTTGGCTCTTTATTTCATCATGTAAAAAAAGAAAGTTTAAACTTAAGAAGACATGAAAAGTTTAAATGGATAATAACAAAATAGAAAATAAACATACTTACTTGCTTTCTTCATCCAAAAGATGAAGCAGTCCCGTTGGTTTTTTGCTAATAAGATTTATGCAACTAGTATTATCAATATAATCTATGTTGTGCCAGCTGATACCTTCAGTTCTATATTCCTCCTAAGAAAACCAAAAAACAAAACAATTTATTCATCTTGCAGAAAATAATATGTATACAATAATAGAGATTGAAAATCGTTTACCATGCTTGAAAGTCTAAGAGTTTTCTTTAAAAATCACCAATGCACACAATGAAAAGATGTATAATTACAGTTGTACAATCTTAATACAATGTATAATGGGTTATATCTTTAAAAAGTATATGTAATCAAATTTGTTGGTTCGAATCTGATTTCTGAGACCCACTGTAATAAAAATTTGGGGCTAAATTTGTTTCAGCTACAATATCTGATGACTCCACAAAATAAAAATATACAATGAAGCCTAATCTCTCCCACATGACTCTAAGTCATTAGAATGATTGTATTTATTAGATCATTAACAATTAATTTATAAAACAGAATTTTTGGGAAAAGTAGTGATCAATGATATAAATAATATGGAATTCATACGCACTTAACTTTGGCAAAATAAAATCCTTGGAACAATTTTTTTTTAAAAAAAGAGTTTCAAATTCCAAGGTTAAAAAACTCAAAGTTTGGGTCTTGAGCAATTATTTAAAATTCTCTTTCAAAGCACCCATTTTTTCTCACTCCTTCTCTGTACTGGGAAATACTCTTTTATTCATTCTTGTGATGCTTTTACTTTTGAGACTGTTTTTTCAGAAAGATGTACCTAAGAATGTAAAGGAGATACATTTCTACACAAAATGATATATAGGCACCAAATAAAATACCTTGTTTGCGTCAAGGTTTTAAGCATTCACTGATAATACCTGCACAAATCAACTGCAAATATAGTGGTTTTGCAAAACAGCCATTTGTAACGCTATCTTTCTTTGTGTATTCACTACTATCCTGTAAGGAAGAATGGACCCTAATATCACCTATAGTTACTCTAATTAGGAAAGGGAAATGCTTAATTCTTTCCTTTTAATATAACCATTTCAAGAGTAAAGTATTGTCATATACAGGTCACTTCCAAACAGTATAAAGAGTGTTTTTCCCCAGTTCTTTTTTGCAGCATGGATAATAAGCATACTAAATAGCATGAGCATATTATTATTATTATTTATTATGTTTTTTTTTTGAGTTGGAGTCTCACTCTGTCACCCAGACTGGAGTGCAGTGGCCGCTCCCGGCCACCACAGCCTCTACCCGCTGGGCTCCGGCGATCCTTCCGCCTCAGCCTTCCCAGTAGCCGGAATTACAGGCATGCGCTACCATGCCCGGCTGATTTTTTGATTTATTGTAGAGATGAGGTCTCGCTGCCCAGACGGGTCTCGAACCCGCGGGCTCAGGCAATCCACTCACCTCAGCCTCCCAAAGGTGCAGGATTACAGGCTGAGCCACCGAGCCCGGTTTGAGCATATTATTTTTATAGGCATTACTAGAAATCCCAAAGTCCTCCTCCACCTCCTCTGAAAGACCATCCAAACTCTTCTGCCCAAAACAGCTTCTAATATAATTGATAAGATTGCTTTTATAAATAATATCTAAATGGAATCATATAATACATATTCTTTTTGTCTGACTTCTTTTTTTATGTACCTAAAGACCATTCATTTCACCTGCTGTAGGACAGGGGCTGCGAAACAACCCACTCCTGTATGTAGTGCTTATAGCCGCTTTCTCAATGTAAAAGGGGCATTGAAACACATGGTCCAAAAAGTCTAAAACACATATATATCTGGCCCTTTTTGAAAAAGTATACCCAATTCTGCTACAAAGTTTTAGTTCTAAAACTGTAATATACAACAGAATAACACGAAGGACTTGAAAAAACACAGACTGTTGGGTACCATCCCCAGAATTTCTAAATAAGTAGGTATAGAAAACTTAGAATTTTCATTTCTAAAATGTTTCCAGGTGATGCTGATACTACTAGTGGGAGGAGGGGGAGAACAAACACTTTGAAAAGCACTGCTGCAGCATATTCCTGTGTGTGTGTGTGTACTTATTCATCCATTCTACTATTGATAGACATTGTACTTATTTCTAATATTTGGTCATTAAAATGCCTTATGACCATTTCTGCACAAAACTTTTGGTGTACATTCATATATATTTTGAGAGTGAAAACAGAGGATTGTAAACTGCAAATATTTAACCACGGCAGATACTACCAAACTTTCTGAAGTACTTGCAACAATTTACATACTCACCACCAGTGTATGATAGTTTCCTTATCAACATATCTTTCCAATACCTACTTTATCTGTCTTTTTAATTTTGGTCATTCTGAAGGATGCCTGGCAGTATCTCACTGTGGTTTTACTTTTAGTTTCACTGACGAATAATAAGGGAAAAGTTTTTCCTACGTTTACTGCCCACTTGGACATCCCCTTCTATGACATGCCTGTGTTCATGGTAAATTCTTAGCAAACACTGCTGCCTTTATCTCAGTCTCAGGAAAAAAGTATTCAGTCTTTTCCACTAAGTATGATATTAACTACAGGTTCTGGTAAATGCCTTTTTTCAGGAAGATCCTTTCTATTCCTAATTTGGTAAGAGTTTGTTTAAAAAGGGAAAAAAAAAAACCAACCAGGAATGGATATGCAATTTTATCAAATGCTTTTTTTGTATCTAATGAGATAACCATGAGTTTTTTCCTTCTTTGTTAACAAATGATTAAATTGCTTGATGCTAAAATGTAAAACATACTTGGAAAAAACTCCCCTTGATTCCAACGTACTATCTTTTTGTATATATCGTTAGATTTCATTTGCTACTTGTTTAAATTTTTTGTGTCTATGTTTATTAGTGAAATTGGCCTATAATTTCCACTTCTAATAATATCCTTATAGATTTGGATACCAATATTACTCTGATCCCCTAAGATGTATTGAGAATTATCCTCTCTTTTTCCATTCCATGTACACGTTTATGTCAGACTGGAATTATCTGTTCTTTCAATGTTAATAGAATTCACCCATGGAGCCATCTTGGCTATCAATGTTCTTTTATGAAAAGGTTTTTAATCACATATCCAATTTATTTAGGTGATAGAATCAGATTTTCTATCTCATGTCAGTTTTGAAAAGCTCTTTTATTAATATCATTTGATAAGCCTACTTACTGACATAAAATTATAGAGTGTATCCCTCTGTCTTTTTAATATGTGCAGTATCCACAGTCATATCCTCTTTAGCAATGAAATTCTGGTTATTTATAGTCCCCTTTCTCTGTCTTTCTCCAATGACTTTCTTGAGAAGTTCATCAGTGTTATTAATCCTTTTCCCATGATATGTTTGTTTTCCCTTTTATTAATTTCCTCGTTTAACTTTATTATTTCCTTCTTTCGACTTTCTGTTGGTTTAGTTTGTTGACCTGTTTTTCAATTTGGTGAGAAGGATCATCCATTTTAAACGTTAAAATCTTAACAGCTATAAAATTTTCCTCTAAATACAGCTTTAAACATATCCTATAGTTTCAATATGTAACATGTTCATTAAGTTCAACATATTTTCAATTTTTTCAACATCTAGGCTACTTACTACACATTTCTTAATTTTTAATCATATAGTACCATCTAGTTATCTTTTACTTATCGCTTTCTGATAAAATTTCAATGCAGTATTGAAATTTGTATCATTTCAATCCTTGGAAACCTGATCCTTGTTTTATGGTCCAATATATAAACTTTGTAAATATTCCATGCAAACTTTAAAAAAAAAGGTGCATTCTGCAGTTACGGAGGCAGTCTTCTATGTGTGTCAATTATATATTTGATTTTCTATATCATTACTGATTATGTCTCAGGCTTCAGGTCAGAGAAACTAGAATTCTGATCAGAAAGGTAGTCAGAGACAGATGTCCTCCAAAGCACTCCTCCCACCCCATCCTCTAGATGCTTTAAACCTTCTATACCTTTATCAGTTTCTAAATGTTTGTTCTATCATCTATTCAGCAAGATGCATTGAAACATGCTATTATAATTGCAAAATACATATATTTTTAGAATTATTAATTTTTGCTTCATATATCTTGAGGTTATATTATTATCAGGTTCCTATATTATCAGGTTCCTATAAATTTTAGATTCTACACTTCCTAAGGAAATGATCCTTTTACCATTATGAGATATTCCTCTTCATTGCTAGTAATGCTTAAAATATGATATTACTACAGCTACACCTGCTTTTTTTGTTAAGGTTTGCTAACACTTTTCCCAGCCTCTCTTATAAGCAGCAAGCACATTAATTTTGTATTATATCCAGGCTGACAAACTGTAGCTTCTAGTTGGAGGAATTAACCCCTTGATGTTTAATATAATCACTATATTTGTGAGATTAAATCAGCCATCTTACTATTTGTTATTTGTCCTGCTTTCTTGGCATTCCTTTTATTCTTTTTTCTTGTTTTCTTTCGAATTGCTTGAGTTCTTTTTACTCTAACTTATCCCTTCTATTAACTTTAAAAAGTTGTATATTCTTTTACTATTCTTTGGCTACTCTAGAAATCATAATATGTATCCTTGACTTATCAGTGCCTAACAGAAATAAAATCTTCTATAACCTAGCATTTTATGCAAAGATTTTAGAAAACTTTAAATTCCATTTTCTCTCTTCTTAACTTATATGCTATTGTTTGTATGTATTTTAATTCTATCTAAACCATAACAGTTATTATACCTTTGTCTAATTTAGTTAATATTCATTTAGTTCAACTATTTTAAATAATTTTCATTGTTCTGCATTTCTTCCTGTCCCTCTGAGCTATAATCAGAAATAGTTTAGCTACTGCCTAAACAACATGCTTCAGTTCAAGGAAAATATCCCATTGTCTTCTAGCTTCCACTGTCTCCACTGAAAAATTGACTGTCAGTCTTACTGTTGAATTTGTTAAGATATCCCCAACCTTATGATTCAGCTTATGATTTTTCAACTTTACAATGGTGTGAAACCATCACAATTTCCATACACTTTGACTTTGGATCTTTTCCCAAGTTAGTGATATATAGTACATGAGATATTTAATACTCTATTATAAAACAGACTT